TATGTATCCAAGAATGGGGGACTGATCGAAAAGTTATAATATATTCACTCAACACGTGCCCAAAATGAGTCACACTCCAGCGGATCTCGAATAGCATCAGAAACAGACTCTGTACTATTACATGAGAAAGCCTGTTAAAAAGCAGTAAATATGGGGGAAGGCCTGGGGAGGAGGGGATCAGTGGGGGGGACAGGGGGACATCTCTAATACTTTCAACAATAAAGATAAATTTTTAGAAAGTAAATATGCACAGTGTCATTCCAATTTTGGAAACGTTTCTATGTGGTATGACAGGATATTATACTGCAAGGTGACGGTGGTATCCTAAAATGGTCAATAAAGGTCATATGTGGTCTGCGAGACTGTTACTTTCTTCTTTCTCCTTTTTGTATGTCTCCAAATTTCCTACGTACGATGACCGCTTATAACTTTTAATCCAAAAGGAAGTTATTTAAAATACATACCGGAAATGAGACCTGCATGTACTGGACAAGCATATAGCTGATTTATATTTTTTAAATGTTAAGCTAAAATTTGGAAAGATTTATCTTCACTTAACATTCGGGGGGAGAAAAACACCGCACGGCACGCCCTCGGAAGTCGCTCTGTTTCCAGGAACCTGCAAGTCTTCCTGAGCCCCTTCACCCTTGCTAGCGGGAGCGGGGAGGGGCCCGGGGTAGCTCTTGTGACACTAGCATGAGGCGCCACCGCGCTTGCTACGGGGAATCCGAGCAGCTTCCTTAAGGCTCCCATCAGTCAGAGCGAGCCGTCCTCAAAGCACTGGCTCCTGTCTTCCTCCTGCCAACTGAAGTCCGCCAGTGCCTTAGAAGCGCACCCAGTACACTCGAGGTGACCCACTTCATTCTGACGCATGCTTTAAGCAATCAAGAGACACAATTCCACGCGTGAGAGGCCCTGATGATGTAAGTCTCGCGCGGCGCCTGGCAGCAGCAGAGCGCCCGAGGCATGGAGAGGGCGCAGCGAGCGAGGGGGCGCAGGTCAGCTCCGCATGGGGGGAGGCCGAGGGCACAGGAGCCGCTGGGTCGCACCCCCGGCTGGCCGGCTGGCACCAGCGCCAGGAGCTGACGCAGACGAGGGCACACGCGCAGAAGGGAAGGGAGACGGGCTTTGGCCGTTGGGACTGGAGTCTCCCTGGCCTAGAGGGGATTTCTCAAGTCTAAGACCCACACTGTTTAATCTAACTGGTCGTGAGAGCCGCAGATACCAGTCTCCACTTGCTTGTGTGTTTTTTCAATCCTCACCCAAGGATATATTTTTATTGATTAGAGAGAGAGAGGAGAAGGGAGGGAGAGAGAGAGAGAGACATCCATGTGAGAGAGAAACACCAATTGGGTGCTTCCTGGAGGCACCGACCAGGGATCCCATCCGCAATGTAGGATGTGCCCTGACTGACCGGGAATCAAACCTGCAACCCTTCTTGGTGTACAGGGCAACGCTCCAACCGAGCCACGTGGCCAGGCCTCCACTTGTTTTCTATTTTATTTTAATTTTTCAATGACCATTTACATTCAGTATTATTTCTGTACTCCACTTTTGATTAGATCTTGCACTGTGTTCATTTCTCAGCTCTGGTTGAACCTCAGTTTGGATTCTAGTCTCTCTGCAATGTTCTCTTGGCAGAGGCAGCTGGCCTTGTGACCTTCAGCTGCTAGTTACTAGTTTTTCATGACGTTTCTCAGATGTTCATGATCACTTTGTCTATCCCTAGGAACAATGAGGAAGAAAACAGGACAAATACCTTGTTCGAGGGCCCCAGAGAGAAGTGATAATAACAAGATCTTTTCCTACCACTCTTTGCTTAGCACGAATGAGCTAAGGTGCCTCTCTTTTAGATCAGCAAACCCATGTAAAATGTCATATTTCTTTTCATTAGTGTTGCCTTACAGAAAAAATCTGTTATCTTTGAAATCCCTCAGCCCCTTTTGCTCCCCTGTATTCAATTGGTTAAAAAATCCTGTTGATTCTCTCTCTCTGATCATTTTGAGCTGCCCTTTTCCCTGACCTTAGAGCAGCTATTTGGTTCAGCCCTCGACAGGGCGTGCTCTGCCTAATCTGTTGCAATAGTCTTTTTCCTCCAGGTCTTTCCGTCACCAAATACATGCTCCACATTGCTGCAGGGTTGTCCTCCTCAAACCAGCATCTGATCCAGTCAATACCTGTGTCCAACATACTTTTGTTATCACCTAGCAGCCATTTCAGGAAAGCACTCCTCCATCATTCTGTTAGTAATCCTGCTCAGTCCACAAGGTCCTGGGGAATAACTCCCTCCTGATCCTACCCTTCTGCCACCCTCACAGAGGCAGCTCAGGATCACCAGAGACAGGCACAAGATCCAGGCCGTCAGGATCCATCTGCTGTAGGTCCTGTGACTGGCGCGTGAGATTGTGAAATAAGTCATGTGAATGGCCCTATACTGATCAATCAAAGTCCGCCCTGGGAACTTCTGCCAAAACTGTCAAGAAAGAAACTCCCTTGTCAGTGATGTAAGCTTCAAGGACCGCTGAGATGGGACTATCTGGGACATTCCAATGACCCAATGACAAATACAGCCAATACCAAGACAGAGGTCACAAATAATGAAAAGCCAGAGAAATGAGTGGGGAAAGGTCTCCCACAAATGTAAAGATGTCACTGTAGCCACCAGACAGACCCTTCTGTCATCTTGGCTTTACAAGTTATATGAGAAAATAAATGCCTTTTATTTTCCTTCAAACTATTTTGAATTGCCTTCTTTACACTTTTGTGTATAATAAAGTCCTAACACACAACTCCACGACTTAGAAACTTTTAATAGCATCTTATATCCTACAGAGAAAAAAATCCCATATTCCTTAGCACAGTAGTCAAGTTCCTCAGCAAAAGGAGCCATCTCAGCTTTTCAGCTTTACATCTCCTGTCCCAGCTTTGAGCACTTCCAAGTATTAAAATAATAAAATCAGTACACTCTGGTGTAGCCACCAGACCCTGATTTCTGCCCCCATGCCATTGCTCATACTTCCTGAATCTGAATTACTCTTCTATTCTCTCCCTCACTGCTCAGCCTTCCAGATCCAGCGCATATTTAGGCACCAGGATCATAATCTACATTACAGCTTCTACATGCATGCATATATCCCTCCTACTGGACACTGTGCAGACAAGGAATGACTCTCTAAAGTTTCATCTCTAGCACTTGACAATCTGTTTCAGAAAGCAGACGCTCCGTAAATGTTTGCAGCACTGATCAGAAATGAGAGACTGAGGACCGATACCTGGTTAGACTCTAAATTCTTCTTTACATTAGAATTTTTCAAAAATTAACCATATCACCACACAACCCAACAATTGTATTCTTGATCATTTATCCCACTGAAACAAATTAATATCTATATACAACCTGTACATGAATGTTTATAGCAGCTTTATTTGCAATTTCCCCAGACTGGAAACAACCCAGATGTCCTTCATCAGGTGAATGGTTAAACAAACTGTGGTGTGTCTATAAAATGGAAAACTACTCAGCAATAAAAATTTAAAAAAGCTATTGATATAAATCTGAAGGGAATTACGCTGATTGAAAAAAAGCCAATCCCAAGAGAGTACATATTATATCATTCCATTTATATAATAATCTTGAAATGAGAAAATTACAGAAATGGAGAGATTAGTGGTTGCCAGGTGTTAAGCATGGGGGTGACAGGGAGGGGTGGGGCAGATGGGGATAGCCATAAAAGGGCATAGGGCTTCTTGTGGTGATGGGATTGCTCTGCATCCCAACTGTATCGATACCCTGGTTGTGCTCCTGCACTACAGCCCAGCAAGATGTTACTACTGGAGGAAAGTAGGTAAAGGTACAGACGGTTTCTCCATATTATTTCTTACAACTGCATGTGAATCTATAAGTATGTCAAAATAAACTGTTAATTTTTTTAAAAAAACTAACCATATCCCAAATCTGAACCAAAAACAGATTCCCAAGGAATTATCTTAAAAATAATCCTAGTTTTAAAAGATCTCACTGTGATTGGCAACATAGTAGAGTTCTACCTACAAGAAGTAAGGAACTCTCTCAAAAAGAGGTAGTTGTTCTCATCAACATGAGAGGAGAATTCTTTACATGTCAAAACTATTTTCAGAAACTGGGATGGCAGAGGAAATGACAAATACAAGAGAAGCGTCCCTGCCAGAACACTGAGCAGGGACCCTGAGCGATAGTCCGTCTCTACAGGTACATGGCTGGGCTTCCACAGGGATGAAAAGCAGCCACTGATGTGTGAAATCTGATCTGTTTGCCATTTAGATCCATGTGACTCACTGAGGCTGGCCGCATTCATATCTAAAAATACAGGAAATCTGCAGCCTAGGCAAATTTGGCTCATTGGCTCATGGGTGTTAGATTTGAACATTGCACATTCAGACACAGTAGCTTTATATTTGTATCGGCCAGCTGCAAAGGAGGTTCTGCTGCTCAAATGAGAGACTAGGCTGAATTCTATAAGCAAAGAGAATCAGAAGAATTATCTGCTTATATACCTTTTTTCTGGGAGTCACAAGACCCCTTCTCTTTAACAGGGAACATGAGACCTGAGGTCCTCTGTAGGCTAGAAGGGTGCCCTTCCTCAAACACCGGGTGTGCCCACTAAATGCCTGTCTCTAAAGATGACAGAGGGAGTCATGAGCTATTAACGACAGAGTAGGGTGTGGTGGTCACATGAGCGACCTAGTGCCACTGGAACTGGCAGTGGCCAAATCTACAAACAGAGAGGGTGTGGTGCCTGGGACCTGCCATTTTTTGTTTTGTCCAGTCTCGCTCACTGCTCTTCCAATGATTCCCACAGCCATGATGACAGCGGGTGAGGCTGCATGTTTCTGGGAGTTACCTCTTGGAACACCCTGATTCCTTCCCTGTGGGCTGTCCACACTCACGGACCCGGTGACTTTTCAGAGGTGCCCTCTCCACGCCCCGGGGGCCTGGCTGGAAGAGCCAGTGCTGCACTCACCCATCAGGACACTCAGCAACTTCTGCACTCTGGAATTGACCCCCACGATTCGGTAGAGCCCTTGCTCATTGATCCCTGAGAAGAGAAACAGGGATGATTTCGTTAGCGGTGCGTCAAAACACAAGTCAAGCCAACCCAGCCAAGGGCACTGTTTTCATTTTCTCTGTCCTTCTAAAAGCCACTCTAATTAAAGTCCCCTGTCCCTCAGCTTTGCTCTTAGCGAAGGAGTGAGATTGGTACAGCTGTCTAGGGTTTCACAGATGTGCTGCACACTTCAGCCCTCCTGTTAGTTCAGTCATCAGAGAGGAAAGAAACCTTCCTCCTCACTCGCCAAAGGCAGCATCTGAAGTGTTTTGAAAGATGCAAAATATATACTCTTAAATAGGTCATAGTTAACCAGTTTTTTAATTTAAAAAGCCAAAAATAACATTAAAAATTCATATTACAAACAAGGATAAACACTCCCTAACTTAATTTCGCATGCAGAATGGAAATACTGAGGTATAAGTACATTTTTTATTTTGGAGAATGTTAGGCCGAGACCGAGAAATTAGAAAATCCATTCATTTGTAATGTGAATATTCGTTATAAAGAAAAAGAAGAACCACCTTCATTCAACCCAAGGAAATGTGCAACTAGACTAGAAGGGATTTACCTGCAAACGCCCAGAGAGCTAAAGACTAACCCACCTCAGTACTTTGTCCATTTAAGTAAAAGGATGAGACGGTCACTGTGCCTTTTATAAAAGGGGACGATTCAGACCCAGTGTATGAAATGACTTTTCTCCTGTTAGTCCTAGGCCCATCATATCTGATACCTCTCAACCAACTGGCCTCCTGCTTCCTTATTTCTGAGGTCCATTTTTCAACCACTAGCCAAAGGGAGCTTCTCAGAGCGTCAGTCGGTTCAAACTCTCTTTTCTTAAAACCTTCCAGAGGCTTCCCATTGCATTTAGATCTCAACCAAACCTTACTGTGCCTACAAGGCCCTACACGACTGAGCAGAGGCCTGTCTCTGACTATATCACCAACCGCTCCAGCCATAGGCCCCCAGTCGCAGCCTTTGCACAGGATTTCCTCCACCTGGAACCCTCCTTTCCCGGATCTTTTCATGGTTCACAACCTCTTAAACACAACCTCTTTAATCTAATGCATCCCATGACCAGCACTACTGGCCAGCACCTGGCCTTGTTTTCTTCTTTTTATAGCAGTTAATAATATCTGAAATTATCTTCCTTATTGGGTTTCTTGTCTGTCTTTCTCCCCACAACTACAAGGTAAACTCATAGTACAGGAATTCTGTCTTCCTCACCATCATATCCCTGGCACCCAGATCAGTATATGACATGTGATAGAATGAATAAAACAGGGCGTTATACTCCATCAGATGCACTATTTTGGAGCCAAAATAAAATTTCCTGAAAAAAGCTTGGGAAAAGGCTGATTCTGGAGCATCTTCGACAAGACCTATATAGAAACAGAGCTCATGAATATGTGTTCTGGAATGAGGGGGCTTCCCAGCTATAAAAGCATGGCATCACCCTGCACGATTCATGGGCCAGGAGACCTGGTGAAAAACTAAGGGAGGGGCACCAAGTCACTCAGTAGCAGAACCATTACTCAGTGAGGTGGTGACTTGAAGGGCTTGTCCTTTCTGAAGTGTTATTTCATTCTTTTGTCCTTGTGCTTTTCTGGAACTTGACACAATCCCAGTTCCCACTGGACAATGATTAATGAACCCCAGAGAGCATGGGAGGTCTGGTGGCCTCTGGTCACCACAAACGTGTGTGGACATACACGTGCTGCACTAGGGGGACAACTGCTTCCTTCATGCATTTATGTAAAAATGGCATTTCACTCACACTGTCCTTATGTCCTCTTGGTACTAAATGAACTTGCTTAGAAGTTAAGACATCATTTTCAGAGGCAGAAGCTGAGACCACACCAGATGGCGACCCTCCTCTTCCTCACCATTTACTGTGTGTATTTTCTGGCTTTACATCAGAAGAAGTCGCCCTCCTGAGCCGGTGGTTTGCATTTATCACACAAACTCTGTGAAGAGTTTTAATTGATTAGGTGTCTCCCTTTGTTCTGGCTGCTAGAAAGTGAGCAGCAGACAGGTGGCCCACCTCAGGCAAGCCTAGGAAGGTGCCCGGGGACTGGAGGGGAGGGGAGTTTCGTTTTGAACTCGCTTTTGGCTCCATTTTTATGCCTCTACTTCTGTTAACCCTGTATCTCTTAGATCTCATATTTTTATTTTAAAATAAGAAGCATTTCAAAATGCCTGTTGAAAAATGAGTTCCTTAGTTATACCTACTTTTAAAAACTTAGAAACTACAGTTATGGAAAATAGATAAAACAAAGGAAGATGGTAAAAACAGCAGAAAGACCCCTGATAACACAATGATAACTGTGCAGGGACGAATCTCCCTCTCCCACCACCCCCAGAACAGGTTCATCTTGGCAGGCTATTTTATAACTTGCATTTTTCACTTAATAAAAGTCTTGGGTGTCAATGTATTTACACTGCATTTTTAGTGATTTGGAGTTTCTTACTGCATAGATGTAACAGATTTTTGAGACATTTGGTCACTTTCTGATTTTTCACCTTAACACCTTTCTGTAAACATCCTTATAGTTCAACCTGGCCCATGTCCTTATTTCCTCAAGATCCATTCCCAGAAATGGCACCTACTTCTACTTTACATTCTCTGGTCACATTTTACATGATCTTTGCAAACTGCCTTAACTCTTTATTGAGGGAAGGTATAGTAAAAATAAGCAAACATTTTAAAATGTTAGTACACATTAAAATAACTACGTTGGAAAGCATGCTTTTTGACTGGATGCATAGAAGTAGAGGTTTATATGGTAAAATTTTTTCTCCCCCTCTACTCAATGCTTTACAGCTTTATAAAGATGCCTATATTTCTCAACTGGTAAGAGTTATGGATCCTTCTTTAAAAGACAGAACTTGTTCCAAACAAATAAAAAGGGTTGGTGGGTTGAGAAGCTGTGGAATAAATAAGATTCACATCTTCGACAACGGTTCATATCAAGCCCAGTGGAAAGAGAGTTATTGGCTTTTCTAGTGGGTACAATAGACCAGTGAACTCAAATCTCCAAAGTGTCAGAACAGAGGAATGGCCTTTGAAGCAACCTCAGTTGAGGAGATGGAGAGCACTAGGATGAAACAATTTCCCTGATCTCAAAGCCCTACTCCTATGGACCCAGGAAAGGCCAATGAGTGATAGGCAGGGCCTGACCACAGTGCCACTGCAGGCAATTAGGGGCCTGACCAGTTCTTCCTGCCTTGATGGTCCCCAACGAAAAGCTCCCCAGAGCAGGTTCTTAACCTGGGGCCCATGGACCCTAAGAGGTCCCCTAGAGAATTTGGGGTGTATCTATGAGCTGAGGAACACAATTACATCTTTATTTTCACTAACTTCTAACTGAAAATTAAGCATTTCCCTTCCATCGTAATATAAGCACAAATCACAGTAGATTAGCAGTACCTGCAATTTGGTCAGAAGTCACAGATATTTTCATAACACATTATAATTGTTACAGACGTCTTGAAATATCACTATTTCTGAATTAAGCCAGTTATCAACCCACCACTTGTTATTTAAAGCATTAACAAAGAAACACACATTATTAGATCACAACACATACTATTATTATATCTTAATGTTTTAATCACTGAACTTCAGTAACTGGTTTCCTTTGAATCCCACATATTTGATATGTATGTATTTAAAGATTTCTTTGGACCAAAAGGTTGATGACACCAAATCATTTGAGTGCCCCGGCTTCAGAGCAACACAACTAATGGAAACACACTGCCAATAGCACTTGGGGAGTTAATGAGTCACTTAAAATTGGGAATGGCAGGTAGCAGGTCTGACACTGCCCCAGATGCCTCCCCAGACGTGTGACCTCCGCTGGGAACAAGGCCATCCGTTGAGCTACTTTACCTCTGGTTTCCACTGCGTGGATGCATTTCCTGATTATGCTGAAGCCAATGCTGTCCAACTGTGCAGCTGAAAGAGGGAGAGAAGAGGGTCAGGTTGCCGGCCGTGCAAACCAGTGTTGGGACAAGGCGTGGCCAACCCAAGACGACTCAGTCTCATGGTGTGTCCACACAGCCTTTTAAATTTTCCCACTAAAGGTACAGGAATCATAATTTTAAAAACAGCTGGTATCCACCGAGAACTTACCACATGCTGGGTACAGTTCTAAGTGCTTTAAGTATATTACCTCATTTAATTCTCACAGTAACTCTGCAAGGTTATCGTCAATGTATAGCTGAAGATACTGGAGGAATCAGTGAGTGACAAGCACCTTACTAAAGGAATAGCTAGGCATCTTTAAATTGTCTGGTCAATACCAGGAGCTAGAGGACTAACTGCTCATTGGTCTCCTTCAAAGAGCATAAATTAAGTGATCAATAAATGTTGGATAACTGCTTGACATAGATTATCTCATTTTTTTCCTAGCAAGTCCACTAGGCTGATACTATCATTGGCCCCATATTACAGATGAAGAAACTGAGATTTGACAAAGCTAGGTATCTTGACCAAAGTTGCAGGTTTATTATGTGGGAGATTCATCCTAGAATCTGTATGACCTAACTGTCTTAAATGTGACCCTGAGTTTAAGAGAGAAGTAAAATCCTGCTCAGGTTAGTAGAAAAGAAAAAAAAAGACCCATAGGAAAATTAAAGCAGCCAAGAACAGAGAAGCTACCCCAGGAAGAAGCACCGAGGCAGTAGGTGGAGTCGTCTTCTGTGCGGGAAATCAGCAGGTGGGGACAGTATTCCATCTGCCCCCAAACCCACTCCTGTCACTCAGAAAACAGATGAGCAACAGCAGCAAGTCCTTCCACATCACAGAACTAATTCCCACCCTGGCAATGAAGCTGGAAACCCACCAAAATGCATCCCCACACTGTGGTTACCCAGTGATAAGATGTGCGGGGTGAGCCTTAAGAATGGGTCCATCTTTGACCTCCTCAGGGCATCAGGTCAAACCATTCTACGAACAGATGTTCAGAGCAGCGAGGGAAATGGCAGAAAGCAGGAAGGTGGGTATTTATAAATGATGTGTCATCATCCCAGGGCAAGAAATAAACTTGTGCAATGTGAGAGCTGAGCAGAACTGGAACTCATCTTGGATCTAATCCAAATGTAATCTTTCTCCAGTTCTTAATGTCTATGAGTAAACTTAGATCCAGTGAAGATAAAAATCCTTTAAAAAAAAAAAATCACTGAGAATTCCCCAAATCAAACTAGAAAGGAATGTTAATTTCCCAAAACTTCTCTTCCCAAAGGGAAAGAGCTCTTGTTCTAACATGCAACCTCAGTGCTTCGTGGCACTTACTATAAACACACTTGGTCTCTAGGACAGTAAGTAAAGTACCAGAAGAGGGGGAAAGGGTGTTTTTCTACCTGGAGACCAACTGCTTTACAAACTATTGCTCTTATTACCTTAAAGCTATAAAAAGCCTACTAACTCAGGGCCTTGCTTTTTCTAGTATGAACCAACTATTTACTTTGCAAACTGTGTTATATTGAGCTTTCTGACTGGAGCCTGGAAGCCAGATCAAAATTATTCCTCCAAATGAAACTCAATTAACTCATGCCATAGACATTTCCCAAACTTAATAACAAATTACAATACACAGGCCAAATACCTATTGGAATCTAGGGGAAGATTTTTTTTAAATAACAGCTTTATTGAGACATAATTCACATACCATAGAGTTCACCCACTTAAAGCTTATGATTCATTAATTTCTAGTATATTAACAAAGTTATGAATCAATCACCACTACCTAATTCTATAACATTTTCATTACCCCTACAAAAAACTCAGATACATTAGGAGTCACTCCCCACTTCCCCCCTTTACCTGCCCCTAGAAACCACTAATCTACTTTCTGTCTTTGTAGCTTTGCCTATTCTGAACGTTTTATGCAACTGGAATCATAATGTTTGCAAGATTCATCTCTGCTGTGACATCAATACTTCATTCTTTTGATGATGAAATAAATCCTGTTCTACTATCTGGACAGAACACATTTCATGTATCCATTCATCAGCTGTTGCTTCCACTTTGGGCTATTATGAATAAATGCTGCTAGAACACCTGTGTACAGGTCTTTGTATGAACATACTTTCATTTCCCTTCAGTATACACCTCGGAGTGAAATTGCTGGGTTATACGGTGACTCTGCGCTTGACTTTTACTGAGAAACTGCCAAACTGCTTCCTAAAGCACTGCACCATTTTACATCCCCACTGGCAGTGTATGAGGGCTCCAATTTCTCCACATCCTTGCCAATATTTGTTATTGTCATTTTTATTACAGCCATTCTAATGGGTGTGAGGTGGTGTCTCACTGTTGTTTTGATTTGCATTTCCCTGATGACTAAGGATCTTTTCGGGTGCAGGGGAGGGTTTTCATTCTCTTACAGCAGTTAGAATAGAGGCCACTAGAACGTATTTGTCAGAAGGGAAATTACTTTTCATACTTAAGGAGGTTTCCAAAATGTTCATAACTGATTCAACAGTCAGTTGTAGCCTTTTAGTTCTTCTTTTGAGAGGTTCTTAAGAGGATCCTTGCATGGGGATGATAGTCGCAGAAGTTTGGGAGGGAACAGCCATTTTGCATAGTGCTCTGAGCTGCTGAGGCTGATTCCAAACCTGGATGCTTTAAGAGCAGGTTTGCGAACATGGCCCTGATGAACTTCTGTCCGGAACAAAGATTATTCTGCTTCCTTACCCCTTGAACACTGATTAAAGTTTTTGAAAATTGGAAATAACCTGGGAGCTGACAGCGATGAGCCCAGTTGCAGAAGATTCATGCTCATAAAGAGAGCAGCACGAGTAGCTGAAGAAATAAGGACAGAGCTAGACAATACCTTGCAGAAGCAAATCAGTCCTTGAATCTTTAGGAGATTCATGCTCATAAAGCCAGCAGCATGAGTAGCTGAGGGAATGAGGAACAGAGCTAGACATAACCCTGCAGAGGCCAATCAGGCCTTGAGCCTTATTCTATAGAGCCGTGGGAAGCCAGATTCTTTCCAAGGTAAGTAATAGGTACTGCAAAAGAATACACGAGAACCTTCCAAGTACATCCAGAAAGAATTCAATTCCACTAGCATGAATGAACTATAATTACTTCTTTTGGAAAACGGCAAAGCAAAAGCCCCCCAAAAATCTGAGTAAATGATCATCCTTTGATTTTCCCAACATCAGAAATTCTCCAATTTGTTCTAAACCAGCAAACCCCTTTACTTTATTTATTTTTAAAAAATATATATCTTTATTGATTTCAGAGAGAAGAAGGGAGAGAGACAGAAACATCAATGATGACAGAGTCATTGATCGGCTGCCTACTGCAGGTCCCCTACTGGGGATCAAGCCCGCAACCCAGGCACGTGCCCTGACTGGGAGTCGAACAGCGATCTACTGGATCCTAGGTCGATGCTCAACAGCTGAGCCACACCCAGCCAGGTCCCCTTTCCTTTAAATAAATTTTACATAGATGTTATACATAAAGGCCTTGCCCATTACACATGTAGCATAGTATTTATTAGTATACATTAGTTCAAATGTATATAACGCTTACATATTGCAAAGTCAAACATTAAGAGCTCAAGGTAACTCTCTGTTAGCCTGTAATGTGTCCAAGTTGCACAGTGATGATAATTATCACAGTTATAAACAGATAAAACTATGTTAAGAAATGGAAATCACATCAAACCACTGCCCAACAAGACACTCGTGAAGTTCAACTTAACTACCAATGCTCCAACCCTCTAAAATGGAACTGGTATAAGCTATGTCACTGCCTGGGGCCCCACACTTTCCTGCACCGCTGTCTCCCCATTGCTGTGTCTGTTACATACACACAGAGCTTGGACTTCTACTCTCATCGACCCAAATTTCCTGCTGACGTCATGATTAGGTTACAAATGATTAACAACTGCTTTATTATTTAACATGTACTGAGCCCCGCTAATATGACAAGGACTACAGTGCATACATAAGCAGATCATTAGTCCTGATCCCTGCCCAGCAGCTTCCTAATCTAAGTTAATTGAGATCTCCTACTCTGAAAATCGAGTTCCCTCTAAAAGGTTTAGAACAGCATCACCACTGAGCAGTTCGCTAATGACAGAAAAAGTCTGAGCGGCTGACAGATGGAAGTGGCTTTCCGTAATCCCCTCAAGCAGGTGATTCAGCTCTTTCACTGGGCCAAGGCTCAGAAAAGGTCAGGGATTTATTTGCAATTTCTGTATCCTTATAATCTCTAGAAATAATCTCTCATTAAATATCTACTAGGCTTGCATTATTTCCTTAATTTGACTTGCAATGAATTGTTGCAGGAACTGTGACTCCTACGCCCCACATCCACTGTCTCGCGGCTAAGGCTTATCTGCCTTCCTCAGCCTCAGGTTCAGCTCTGCCCAGGCTTACACATGGGGCAGCCCAGACAGTTGTCACATAATGAATATTCAGAGAGCTTGCACCAAATACCCAGGTTGACCCGCCAAGTTGGAAACGTGTCATCCTCTTAACTTTCATTTCAACTTTTGAAGCTTTGTCTGTCTCCTTTTAAAGGAAGGAAATGGCCCAGGCCACACAAACCTATTTTCCAAACTTCTGTGGAGAACACGAGAACACTGGAGAGGGGCTGACGCTCAGTCAGCCTGGAGAGTCTTAGGGCAGAAGCCGGGGAAGGATGCCTGGCAGACCACGGGGGTTAGAGCTACATGCCTAGCTAGGGTAAGAACCTAGACTAGGGAGGCAGGTTAAATCCAGAAACTGACTGATTTGCTCTTTAAGGAAGAACATACTGCAAAATTCTATTAAATTACTTTCTTGTCTAAAAGGAGGCTGGTGGGCCAGGTAGACAGGAATGGCTATCAGCATAGCCATCACTGCCATGTTCTGCAGCTTCTAGTGCCTCATGGTACCTCACCTGAGATGCTTTCCCTGGCTCTTCACATCTTAAAAAAACAAGGCGTGTAGGTG